TGAAATGCAAGATAATGTAACAACACAGAGTATCTTGGGCCCCCTGAGAAGGTGAACCAAACTTGTAACAAGAGAAGGGCTTCCTAGAGGGGAAGCTTGGTCCTGATGGTGCATGAGTAGAGGTTACATGGGACAGAAGCAAATAGGATTGAGGAAGCTTCCATATAGAGGAAAGGGACAGTGCAAACATGATCCATTTGAGGGAACTGAGAATGGCTTTGTGTGGCAATGGATGAGTTTTAAGAAAAATGTAATGGTCATATTCAGATTTGAAAGTTTCTATGAATCTTCTAAGAGATTCCAATTTCATTCTGAAATCAATGAAGAGCCAAGAAAAGTTTTACTCCGTGGAATGCCATGATTGCGTGTGGTTTCAGGAAGATAATTCAATGGGTGAACAGACTGAGGCAAGGAGACAGGTTAGGAGGCTGGCTGAGAGTGTGAACCAAAGTACAGCCAGTGGAACTGGAGTGGGAGCAGCAATTCCTGCACAGGAGAACTGAGTAGCTTCTTGATCAAACTGATGTAGGAAGAAAGAGAAAGGAAGGAGGATAGGAAGACACCCTTGTGTCTGGCTTGGGTAGCTGGAGAATGGTGGTATCATTCACAGAAATAGGAAGAACAGAAGGAAGAACAGATTTTGTGGGGGAAGATGGTGAGCATGGTTTTGGACATGTTGAATTTGAGGTGCACATGGGAAATCCAACTGGTGTTACGTAGTAGTCAGACATATGCAACAGGAACTCACCAGGAAGCTCTAAGTAAAGTCAAAGCCGTGGCTGTGACTGAGCTTCTCACAGGAGAACATGTGCAGTTAGGAGAGAAGGGGCCACAGTCAGTATGCTGGGGAGTGTCCCCACTTAAATGATGGACTGATGGAGAGGAGTTCAGCAAGGAAACCAAGAATGAGTGAAGTGAGAGGTAAGAGCAAGGGATCACAGGGAGGCAGGTGCTGCAGCCTGTGGTAAGGAGCAGAAGCTTTGTGGCTGAGACTGGCTTGGTGCTCACCAAGCCCTTCTCTCCCTTCCTGGGCACAGAAATAAGCTCCATTTCCCAGCTTCCTTGCATCTAGGTAGAGCAAGTAACTAGGGTTGCTACTGACTGTGAGACGGGGTGATCTGCAATTAAACACAGGTGCATCTTCCTCAAGTTCTTCTTCCCATCTATGATCTCTTTGGAGGTCACATGTAAAAGGACCTCTGGAAGGAAAGCGCTCAGATTTTAGATTTATTTATTACACCAGCAGAGCCTAGCCTATCTTTCCTGCTGCTGGCTCTGGAGTCACACAGCTGGATTTGAATCTTAGCTCTTCCTTTTGAATCCTGGCTTTACCTCTTGCCAACGGTGTGACCTTGGGTAAGCTGCTTAATTTTTCTGTGCCTCAGATTCCTCATCAGTAAAATTGGGATAATAATAACATAGTTTTCTCAGGGTAAAATGGGGCAATAATTAGGAAGCACACAGAACAGTATTAAAAGCTCTAGAAATGTTGGAAGTGAATGGAAAGAATGTCAAGAGCAGGGGAGTGGTTCATGACAGGCGTCACCAAAGTACGGCCTGCAGGTCAAATCCACGCTGCTGCCTATTTTTATACGGCCTTTCCACAAGAATAAATTTTACATTTTTAAATGGTGAAAATAAATGACATGAAACGTATATGGAATTTAAATTTCAGTATCAACAAATAAAGTTTTACTGCAACAAAGCCACATTCATTATTGACATATTGTTATGGTTACTTTTGCACAATGATGGCAAAGTGTGAGTAGTTGCCGGGGACCATATGGGCCCACAAAGCCTAAAATACCTATACTCCCTGGCCCTTTCAGAAAAAGTGTGGTGATCCCTAGTTTACAGTGTCAAATGCAGCAAAGGTCAAGAAAGATAACTGAAAAAGGTTAACTGGAATTGGCAAAAGATTACTAGCGACCTTGTTAACAGCTTTATTGGAGTGGGGAAAGTGAAGAAAAAATTTTGGTGCCAGGCAAATCAAAGTATGATTCCTGACACTAAAATCTGCTAGCTTGATGGTCTTCGGAAGTCAGTTAACTTTTGTGAGCTTCAATTTCCTTGTCTGTAAGTTAGGGATTAACAGAGCTTACTCCGTGAGTTATTGTAAGGATCAGCAATAATGCATGTAAATCATAAAACACACTCCTGGTTTAGAGTACGTGCTAAATAAATGCAAGTTCTTGTTTCATTTAATCTGCTACAAACAAAATTATTCCTTTATAGGAATTGCATTTTCACTTTTTAATTTTTTTAAAAAAAATTTTCTCTGGGCTTTCCAGCAAAAACTAGAAAGCCTGCTAGATAAATTCTAAAAGAGCTGTAACATTACATTTTCACTTTTAATATTTTATGTTTCTCTTCCATCTTCTGCTGGTTTACGTTACATTTTAAGTCATTGCTCAAATTTCACCTCTTTAATCAGGGCATACCATTTAATTTGGAGATCCCGATTAATGCATTAAGTAATCTGTTCCATCCCCAGCATTCCTAACCCCCTTACCCTGTTCTACTTTCTTTTCTCATAGTTTATCACCTTTGACAATCTAGAGAACTGACTAATTTACTATGTTTATGGTTTACCCTCTGTCTTCCCCAGTCTGATGTAGTTAAAGAAATGGGGGGTCCACACCCCCAACAACTAGAAAGAACAGAAAAATCTGAAAGAAATCATAATATAAGGATATTCAAAATTTTAAGTCATTGCTCAATTTTCACCTTTTTACAAGAGCCCTTGCTTGTTTTACATAATCATATATTCCAACTACCTAAACAGAAACTGGCACATAGTAGGTACCTAATTAATACTTGAATGACTAAGTGAAAAAAGAATAGATGAGGATTTTTAAAAATCCTGCTCAGGACTGGATATGTTCCTTGCATCTTGGGACTGGGACTTGCCTTTTTCATCTCTGCAAAATTCTCAGCTCTTATCTGTTAAAATACAACCTTACCTCCATCCCCTCCATTCTCTTGTTCTGGAATTCCTTTTAGAATATGTTGAACCAATCATGCTGTCCTCAATGTCTCCTAAGTTCTTTCTCATATTTGACAACTATTTAGCTCTGTGTTTTATTCTACAGCAATTTCCTCTACTCTATTATTAAGTCCCTTTTTAGCTGCATCTAGTCTACTATTCAACCATTAATTGAATTTCTATTTCAATGACAATATTTTTGTATGTGCCTACAATGCCTGTTTCTTTCCTTTTTCTTTCTTCTTTTCCATTTGTTCATGTATTTGTTTCAATATTTTGAATATCCTTATATTATGATTTCTTTCAGATTTTTTCTGTTCTTTCTAGTTGGTGGGGGCGTGGAGCCTCCATTTCTTTAACTAGCTGGCCTCCTTGTTGTGGATCATCTCTTTGTGCTGTCTGTAATTTTTTATTGTAAGTGGTGGTTTTGCATTAGTCTCTGCTGGGGTCTTATGGGTTAGCAACTGAAAAGGCTCCCAATACATATCACTGAATGGCCTGCCTTTAGAGGGCAGGATGGGAGGCAGTACATCGTGGCAGGGGCAGTACAACCTCTTGCTTTTGTAAATTCTCCAGTCTTGGGTATGCTAGAGAATGTGCCCTAAGTTCACATCCCCACTGTGAAACCATTTATGTAACCTTGGGTAAATTACTCTTCTAGTCCTATTTTTTTTTTTGTCTGTGATATAGAGACAATAATTCCTACTTTCTAGAGATGTTGTGAAGAATTGGTGAGTTAATATAAGAAATTGGCATGATGTTTTACATATAATAAGCACTTAATAGAGGTTAAAAATTACTATAAACATGTGGTAGCTATTACAGCACTTGCCAACATCATCTCCTTGCTGTGTGCTATAAGGAAAGAACATAATACTCAAGGAAATAGCTTCTGAATATGTATGAAATATACAGCCAGCCATTACATGTGGACAATGGTCATATCTGTTTGCTTTATTTGTAATGAATATTAGTTAATATTCATCACAGGATGAATATTACTAGGAACATGTTCACTAGGCTTTTAGCCATTGCTAAGGAGCACTGATGAGAGGCAGAAGAAAGTTTTGGACATTTTCCTTTTTCAAAAATAAAGCCTAATTAGGGAGTTGGATCATTTGCCAACTATTTTGGTTCATTAAAATGTAGCAGCAGAGGGAGTTCTTCTGTTGAGAGGAAAATGACCCAGATAAATGTCTTCAGTTTTATTCAAAGAGAAAATATACTTAACTTTGTGGCTATGTATTCCTTGGTCATCATTCCCTTCCACAGGTTAGTGATATGGTTTGGCTCTGTGTCCCCACCCAAATCTCACCTTGTACCTCCCCAAACTCCCATATGTTGTGGGAAGGACCTGGTGGGAGATGACTGAATCATAGGGGCTGATATTTCCTGTGCTGTTCTGTTAGTGAATGGGTCTCACAAGATCTGACGGTTTTAAAATAGAGAGTTTCCCTGCACAAGCTCTCCCTTTGCCTGCTGTCATCCATATAAGACATGACTTGTTCCTCCTTGCCTTCTGCCATGATTGCGAGGCCTCTCCAGTCATATGGAACTGTAAGTTCTTCATTAAATCTCTTTCTGTTGTAAATTGCCCAGTCTCAGGTATGTCTTTATCAGCAGTGTGAAAATGAACTGATACAGTTAGCAATAACATAGCAGAGCCCAGAACCTGTAGCAGATGCTCAGTAAATATTAATAGTTTATTAGTGGAAAGGGGTAGAGACACAGGCAAATTCTTGGGCAAGAGAACCTCACTTCTATCCCATGTTAATTTTCGACCACAAAGTTTTCCTTAATTCACTGCTGTTTTGGATTTTGGATGAGGAAGTGCCAAAGAGCCAAACTTAGTGAAAAAAAGCTGTTGACTACTATAATTTATCATGTAATATGTCATTAATTATCTGTATATATTTCACAAAATGAGTTTTTATAATTCAAATTTTCATAAAACATTTATAAAGGTCCAACTTAAAAGCATTTAAGTAGAGTACTATTTTTAGATTTTAATTACCTGATCTTCATAATCAGATCCTGTATCGATGATCTCTCCAGTGTCCAATATCATCGAAGGATCAAGGTCACTTGAACCTAAAATTAGGAAAGAAAAGACTAGTGGATGGAGGTTGTCAGTGTATGTTTTTAAAGCAAACAGTCTTTCACTGGATTCCCATATTTTCCTATGTTACATTAAATTCAGAAACATTTCTGTACTCTTCTCATCTGCCAGGTACAATGTTTTGCTGGAGATTGAAAGTGCAGTGACTCTGGATACTGTCTGCACCCTTAAGAAGAAGAAAATATTGTGAGGGAGAATAATTTGTCAATAAGAGGTTATTATTAAACGTTCAGCAACCCAAGAGAGTGAGCTACTAATACTGACTAGTAGTGGAGGCGATGGTGGAGTTAGGATCCTTCACGAGGATCTGTGATCCTGAACTTTGAGGGTGAATACAGATCATCCAGGAGGGGGAGCAGTTTCAGGATTTGCAATAATAACGGAGGTAGAATGTAGGGTCCAGCCCTACAGGATCCTCTGTGCCCCTCACTGCTGGTGTGGAGATGAGAAACTGTGAAAATAAAGACACAAGACACAGAGATAGAGAAAAGAAAGTCTGGGCCCAGGAGTCCACTGCCAACAAAAATTCAGAGTCCAGCAGTGGCCCGGAGTGCCTGGATACTCTGACTTTTATTGAGTACAAAACAGGAGGAAGTGTAGGTAGAGAGAAGTAATGGTGGTCAGTGACAGAGTCAGGTAAATCTCATGTCTTGGAAACAGGGGCTCAGGATTTTCAAGAAGCTGAGGTGAGGAGAAAACCTAAGGCATCATCACGTTTTTCATACTTGTCAAGAAATAACAAGGTCACTAAGATTTATGTTACAATTACTAATTCTTATCTTTTAAGAAAGAGAGGAAGCAGGTTCAGAAGCAGAACGTGAAAGTACACATGGACCGTGATCGCTGAAGCACAGCATCACAGAGACAATTAAGCCCCCAGATGTCTATGGGCCTCCCTGACAGCTGCCAGGCCTACCACAAGAACTTGGAAGAGCAGCGTTTTCTCCTAACTCCCCCAAGGAAGGAGACATCTCGGCCATCTTGGACGTCTCCTTCCCTAGCTGGCTAAACAGCGGGCGCTTTCACAGCGCTGGTGCTGCCGCACAGCTGAGGCGCCCTCCAGCAGCCCTTATGTGGGCGTGACAGAGGATTTAGAGCATCTTGCCTTAGGGTCCCCTCTTTTTCCAATGCCACCTGAGTCCCATCCTTCTTGACCTGAGACATATGAGTAAGATGAAAGATTATATGATTATATATGTGTATATATTTATGATTACATGTGAATAACTATGCAACTATATCTCTAATTCTTTTCTAATTCTATATTTATATGAGAGCAGACTGAGGCCTTGGCTTCTGTGGGGTTTCCCCCCACAGTAGAAGGAACACTATGAGCAAAGTACAGAGTGGGAGGAGAGTAAGGGGTTTCCAGAAACAGGAAGGGCTGAGTTTGCTTACTCCATGAAAACTCTAGTTTTTCCTCAAGACTTCGGGTCACCTTAGTTGTTGAAGGTGAGAAGACTCAAGTTAACTTAATATGTGAATAGAGAGATTATTTCCCTTAGGTACTACAGGTTTCATTAAATCACTTACCCATGAATCCCCAAGGCTCAGACTTAAACTGGTCATTTTTACAATGAGACTTCTGAAGCACAACTGATTCATCATTCTCATTTAATAACTCTTTCCTGCTAGGAAATAGATATCATCTAACTAGCCAGAAAGACTGAATTCAGTGCTGCCCATAAAATATTATATATGCTGTGAAAAAACAAACCATCCTATGTTTCACTGTAAACTTGGCCTTGGCGAATAATTCTTAGTCAAAATATACAACGAGTACTGCATAATGAAGATGAATTTTTAAAAAACGTCAAGCACCTCAAACATTTCTCAGATACAGAGCTGTCCCTGATGTTGCTTTCGTGTTTTCTTTCAAAATGAGTTGGGGTATGTCCTCCCACAGTCTTTTCTCGTCTCTTTTCTTTTTTCCCCTTTTCTTATCATTGTCCCTGTTGTCTTCCGACTTGACAAATAGCCATTAGCAAGTTGATTAAGTTCTAGGCAGTAAAACCAGTGTTTACTGTGTTTATATCTTTACTTTTTTTTTTTAAAGAATGATAAAGTTTTTCAAAATGGACATATTAAACCGTGAAACCATTTTGGAAAAGTAATCACAGAGCTGCCAGGAAGAGTTGCCTAAGTGTGTTTGGAACAACTCTGGGTGATGCCAGTCACGTCGCCAGCACAGCCCTTGCCAGACTACTTGTTCAGAAGGTGGTTGATAGAATGGAGTTGGCAAGACTACACACCATGCTATTAGCAGAGATCAGAGGGGAGAGGTGGGAAGCTTTAATTTACATATATAATTTTAAATTAGTGGGATTATATATAATTTTTCTATCTTTGTACTTTTGATATTTGTTTCAAATAAAGAATTTTGTAAGGTACGTCTTGAGGCCAAAATACTTGACTGTGTTAAAGTGCAGTTTGAAGGTCAGTTTGCACTTCCGTTGTGAGGCAGTAAATATCAGAAATAAAAATACATAATTTTTTCCATTATAAGATAATAAGACATTTTAGAACTGTCAGGTTGGTACAAAAGAAATTGTGGTTTTTATCATAACTTTCAATGTCTGTTTCACAGGAACCCACTTCTCATTTTAGAGAAGAAGAAAATGAGATGCAGAAAAGTTAAAAAAAAAATCTTGGGCTAGGTCATGTAGAAAGTGCCTGAGACCAAAGGCAGAACCAGTAGCTCCTACTTCTCTTTCTAACAATGATGCTGACTCCAAATTCTAAGCAGGGGCAATCTACATGGGTTTACTCAGATTCCCTCGCTGCAGTGCTCTACAGGAAAAGACCTGGGGAAGCATCCTGTCAAGTCCATGTGCTGAGAAAATGAGGAACAGTAAGTGGTTGATGATCACACAGCTCACAGGGGTGGCTGTGGAAATGGAACAATCAGAAGTGGAATTAAGGAGTCTCATTCAAGCTGGTAACAATCAATGCTCCTTTCTAGGAAGCCGCTATTGACAGCATCATTAACGATACAAATTTTACTTACTTTCATTACCTCCACAATATGATGATCATCTGTCACTGATTAGTGGAAGTTGTGATAGCTACTTGGATTCAAATAATACCCTCATTTCACCTGTATTTAGAGTGATTCATGTGGAGTGAGTACTCTGATTTGAACACGAAATATTCTTAAACATATAGCTGCTTTTAGTATCCGTGTCCTACTTATTTTGTTTAGTTAGAAACTGTTCTTTCAGTTGTTTTCAAAAAGGACAACATGAAGGGCTCTTAAACAACTCAGTTAATGGATATTACACATTAATATCGGAAAACAGAGCAAGGTAATTGAAAAACTATCTTCGGCAATGGTAGAATGAAAAGACCTTTGTTTAAAAGAAAGAGTGACTGGATTTCCTAATAAAATGCTTTTTTTTTTTTTTTTTTTGATGGAGTCTCGCTCTGTCAAAATAAAATGCTCTTAACAGGAATTTTATTGTGTCATTAGGGATGAAATTTCTTGAAACATTGTTGCTCCTGGCAACAGTATTAATATATCATAGGAGGCAACAGACAAAGGATATCATTATCATCTTGGATAATGATTGAATGGCTTTCATCTTCTTTTAGCATTGGTTTCTTGGTTTGCTGAAAATGGGACCTTTAATAATAGCCAAAGGTTTGACACACAAAAATAGAGAGGAAAATGTAGACAAATGTACACATTACTGCCTTCTTTCATTGGATAATTGAACACATAAAACACCTGTAATGATCTTGTTACTCAAAAAAGACAGCAAAATTAGGATGTTATGAAAAGGGGACAGTGTAGCTTTCATTTCCCCTATTTTGAATTTTTCAATTTCTTTTCAGATTTTAAAATATTCTTTCTATAGATGACTGAGAAAGGTATGAACTGAAATACAGAACCACACAAAAACACCCAGTGCTACTAGTTTTAGATGCCGAATGGCCTTTTGGAATATTATTTTCAGGTTGGCTCCTTAAATTTAAGTGGGAAGATGATACAAATTGGCTTTGGAGGTACCAGAGGCTAACCATATTATTTTCTGGGACAAGGTTACAGATGTTTTTCCTCCTAGTGGATCTTTAACTCAAAGTTTTAGAAAAATCCTCCTCCCACTTTGAGTACCCAATAAAGACACTCTTAAAATTGCAGGGCTTCCTGAGTAGGGAAAGGTGTCTGTAAATAAAACTCCTCCAACCCTTAAACTGCCCCCTCTGAGGAAAACAGTTTCTCCCTTGTCCTGTCTCTTACGGGGTAGCTTATGATGTAATTTTCATTAAACTGTAAACTTTTAATTTACGGTTTCATTAAAATGAAACTGTAAAAGTTGTTTCATCTCTGAATCTAAGAACAAAACCTAGAAGGTGTATGTGTTCAATGTGTATGTACCAAATGACTGAAAACGAAAGGACACTTCCACTTTACCTTTACAGTTCTTGCTCATTGATCCACGCTACAAATATTAAATGTCTCCTATAAGTGCCTGCCCTGTATTAAGCACTGAGAATCGAGCTTGAATTCCACCGGCACGGAAAGTGTTCATTACAATGTGTAGGAAGAGCACTGTATTTACTTGGAAAAACATTCTGACAGTATTTGGGATTAGAACTCCTTGAGGGATCTGGGTGTTGGTGGGCTGCTCTGGGTGAGAAGGGGAAGCGAGAGTTTTTCAGTTACTCCAGGACAGGGTTGGGGGAGGGAGGGAGGCAGAGAGGGAGAAGAGAGCAGAAGTAGACCCAGGAAAATGGGGAAAGTTGTATTGTGTAAGATTGGCTTCTCCCCATGAGCCCTCAAATCCTCTGCAAAGACATGAACTCACAGATAGTGTTTTCAATGTGACAGCCACATGCTTTGTACACAGAAACTGTATATTCTTCAGAACAACCCTATGGGGTAGCTGCTATTATTATCCCCTCTTTATAGATAAAGGAACAGAGGCCCAGAGCGGCTGAGTGATACAGCGACACGGCTTTGCCAGAAGTGTTGGCGGAGGGCTCCAATGAAGAGGAGATACTGCAGACAGAACTTGAAGGAGCCGAGGGTCAGAGCAATGGTAATCCTAAGAAAAGGCCTGACATACCTATGGGTCACAGGGTGCTATTCAAGGGCCTAATCTAGTCTGGGGTGAGGTCTGAGAAAGTCTCCTTGAGAAAATCACCACGTTTACCCTGAGGCACAAAGTAGAGTCTGGCCAGGTGCAGGATGGGGCTCTATGGAGTTGTGAGAGTGGAGAGAAGCAAAAGAGGAAGGGGGTTTTCTAAGCAGAGAGAAGGGCAGGTGGACACTGCCTGAGGCAGGAAGGTACTCCAGGTACTAGGGAACTGCGGGGAGCTGATGCCAGTGATGTGGGGGAGGTGCTGTTGTAGTAACAGGACCACTGCAGGACAGCAAAGGATTTGGAGCTTTCTTCTATGATAAGGGTACTGGTGGCCAGCCTGCAGGCGTCATGGAAGGTTTTCTTTTGTTTTGTTTTGTTTTTACAGAAAGGCAGGATGATTAGAGCTGCATTCTGTGAGGATCCCCATGGCAGCAGGAGATTCAGGACAGACAGGAAAGGCCAGGGATAAGGAATGACAAAGCGTTTGGTGAATGCAGTGGGAACAGAGACAAAGGTTTGGAATCCCAAGGTGCCCCCTGGGGAATGATGATCAGTGTGGAGTGTGCGGGCAAGAACATTTCTGCCTGGCTCCCTGGAGAAAGGTCGAGGTGAGAGAAAGAGAATTGAATGCCATTCATAGGAGGCGATATGGGAGCCGTGGGGCAGCTGGGATTCTGCAGAAAGAGAGTTCAGAGAGCAGAGAGAAAAGAATAGCAGAGGGACCAAACCTGGAGGCTAACAATTCACAGAGTAGAGGCCGTGGATGTGACTTATTTATTGGGTGAGTCATCAACATTTATAAGCCAGGAGACTTCACCATTGTTCCTTAACAGGGACAGTATCTTGGAGCTACACAGTGGCTGGCTCCTGTAGGGGAGGTACCATTTACTTCTAGTGTACTCCACTTTATTCACCAAGGGCTGTTTTAGAGAAAACAGATTTATTGTAAGGCTGAAGCAGAAACCAGCTTTCAGGGGGTCTTGGGAGGGGAAGAGTTAGTGGGAGTTGAGGCTGTAAGCAGAGCCTTCTGTTCACGAGCTCAGAGGAGAAAGTACATACCTGGAAGCCGCTGCTAAGGCTCAGCCACCATGCACTTTACCAAGGGGACTTTAAGAGAATGAGGACACAGCACCTGTCCTTGGGCAGTTTCCTATTAGTGCAGAAACCAGCACGGTTGCATCACTGCAGGGTAAGGCACTCTAATGCAGAAACACCACCAGCAAGCCACAGAGTCCTGGGCATCCCAAAGAAGGGGTGGCTTAAATCAGCCCCTCCACACCACTGTATTAGCAAACTGAGATATCTAGCAGTTAAATATTTGTTGTTAGAGGTAGTCACCTCTAAAGCATCTTCTATAGAAAATATTAAGTTGAAAAGCACAGGAGTCGTACTATTTTTCAGAGCAGCTGTAGTCGTGTTTCACAATCTTACATGATTCTCGGTATTTCACCTTTCTTGCAATAGGCCAGTTTTTTTTTTTTTTTTTTCTGAGGTGGAGTTTTGCTCTTGTTACCCAGGCTGGAGTGCAATGGCACAATCTCGGCTCACCGCAACCTCCGCCTCCTGGGTTCAGGCAATTCTCCTGCCTCAGCCTCCTGAGTAGCTGGGATTATAGGAACGCACCACCATGCCCAGCTAATTTTTTGTATTTTTAGTAGAGACAGGGTTTCACCATGTTGACCAGACTGGTCTCGATCTCCTGACCTCGTGATCCACCCGCCTCTGCCTCCCAAAGTGTTGGGATTACAGGTGTGAGCCACCGCGCCTGGCCTGAGGCCAGCTTTTTATAAATCTCACCAGAAAGTTAGGCAGATGAGTTTACATCAGTTATCTGCATTCTGTGGGTCTGCCCAGAAAGACCACCACCTTACCCTTGTAATTTTGCCTTTCTTTGAAGCTACTCTTAGGTGGCTTCAAATAGTGATTTAAAATGTTAAGTGTTTAGCCTTTTTACGGCCCCATGTTTTTGGTCTTTACCCTTTGAGATCATTACTCAGAAGAAAGAATGTCAGAACTGAGACTAAGATTGGAGAGTCATCCAGATGGAATTGATGTTGACGCCACATGTGACAATGAGTATTGACTCAGGATCAGAGTAAGGAGAGAATGAGAGGAGGGTCAGGACAGAACCGTGAGAACTGCCTACATTCGGGGGTGTGATTACATCAGTGTCCAAAGTCAAAAGTCCGTGAGTACTGCCTCCATTAGGTAGTGTGATTACTCTACATCAGCATCCAAAGTCAAAGCTCTGGCAAGAGCACTTAGGAAGAAAAGGGGGAGGGTCACCCAGGAGCTGTGTGTTGGGATGCCAGTGGCTATCAGATTGGAGGGGATGCCTTTTCCAGGCAATGAGGGAGAAACCTATCCTATGAGCTAGGGGGTCCAGAAGATATTGTAAATTTAATTGTTAAACAAAGTATGGGTATAGATATTTTTCTTTTATAGTAACATAGGCCCTATGTGCCCTATGTTGTATTGTGACTACCTGCTAATTTACATGTGCAATGACTGGAAGAAAAGCAGCAAGTATAAGGAACAGATTTATAGCCCTTTCTCTCTGTTTTGTTTCGTACTTTTATTTTTACACCAGGAAGTATGAGACTTTGAGAATGGTGTCATCCTTAAACCTTGTGGCAGTTTGTTGAGCTTCATCCATTAATACAAAGTCCCAGACATTTGGCAGGTGATCACGGTGTACTGCTGTCTAAAGGACACAGTGACTTACCTGCTGCAGCCTCTTTGTTTGGAAATAACTTGTTGTCAACTGCCATGCTGATGTCATAGAACACCTCATCCTCATCACGGTCAGCATCAAACTGGGGGAAATGAGGACAGAGAAGTTTGGAATGTGAGAATACACAAATTAGCTAATTCAAAAATATAATGAGCATCCGTCACACAACTGTATCTCTAATGAGGCAGAACAACAGGAATTAAAGCATTTGAGTTTTTAATCAGACATTCAGAGGGTTTTAAGCCCAGACCTCCCATTGAACAGAGAAGAGTATTAGGGAGTAAATGTACAGTCACTTATGGTTTAAAAAATGTGTAATATTTTCTTAATTTATGGAGCACATTTTAGAAAAAAATAACTGAAATTTACCTTGTGGCTTTCTGACTTCATTTTTCTAATTTGAAAAATATGAAAGTATATAGTTCTTAAACAGTAAGAGGAAAGATGTTCTAAGCTTATTGTTAACACACACACACACACACACACACACACACACACACACAAAGAGGCTGGGTGCAGTGACTCACACCTGTAATCCTAGCACTTTGGGAGGCTGAGGCAGGTGGATTGCTTGAGGCCAGGAGTTCAAGACCAGCCTGGCCAACATGGCTAAACCCCATCTCTACTAAAAATACAAAAAAATTAGCTGGGCATGGTGTCACATGCCTGTATTCCCAGCTATCTGGGAGGCTGAGGTCCAAGAATCACTTGAAGCCGGGAGGCAGAAGTTGTAGTGAGCCAAGATGGCACTACTGAACTCCAGCCTGGTGGACAGACTGAGACTCTGTCTCCAAAAACAACACCACCACCATCTCCAAAACAAATTTCAGATACTATACTAGATATAATATTACAGATGTAGTCTACAGATTCTATAGATTTAGATGTACCAAAAATTAGTGACTTAAATATTTATTTTACCATTCTCTAAAATTTACATTTTAAATATTTTAAAATAAGTTATATTTACAAATTCTTGATTTTCCAAGTTTTTCAGTGGTTTGTTAACACATTTTTGTCTCTTTAGTTTTTAAAAATAGCTTTACTATGACAAAAACAAGTAATGGGGTAAAGACTTCCTATTCAATAAATGGTGCTGGGATAACTGGCTAGCCATACGCAGAAGATCGAAGCTGAATCCCTTCCTCACATCATATATAAAAATGAACTCAAGATGTATTAAAGACTTACATGTAAAACCCAAAAGTATTAAATTCCTGGAAGACAACCTAGGGAATACTATCCTGGACATAGGAACAAGCAAAGATTTCATGACAAAGGTACCAAAAGCAATTGCAACAACAGCAAAAATTGACAAGTGGGATCTAATTAAACTTGAGAGCTTCTGCACTGCTAAAGAAACTACCAACAAATAGAGATCCTACAGAATGGGAGAAAATATTTGCAAACTATGCATCTGACAAAGGTCTACTATCCAGCATCTTACAAAGAACTTGAATTTGCAAGAGTAAAACACACCCCCATTAAAAATTGGGAAAAGGACATGAACAGACACGTCTCAAAAGAAGACACACATGCAGCCAACAAGCATGTGAAAGAAAGCTCAATATCACTGATTAGAGAAATGCAAATCAAAATCACAATGAGATACCATCTCACACCAGTCAGAATGACTATTATTAAAAAGTAAAAAAATAACAGATGCTGGTGAGGTTGTGGAGAAAAGGGAACACTTATACACTGTTGGTAGGAGTGTAAATTAGTTCAACCATTGTGGAAAGCAATATGGCAATTCCTCAAAGAGTAAAAGCAGAACTGTCATTTGACCCAGCAATCCCATTACTGGGTGTATACCTGGAGAAGTAGAAATCGTTCTCCCATAAAGACACATGCATGTGAATGTTCACTGCAGCACTATTCACAATAGCAAAGACATAAAATCAACCTAAATGCCCATCAATGACAGATTGGAAAAAGGAAATGTGGTACATATATACCACAGAATACTATGCAGCCATAAAAAGGAATAGAATCATATCTTTTGTGGGAACATGGACGGAACTGGAGGTCATTATTCTTAGCAAACTAATGCAGGAACAGAAAACCAAATGCCACATGTCCTCACTTCTAAGTGGGAGCTAAATGATAAGAACTTATGAGCACAAATAAGGAAACAATGGACATTGGGGTTTACTTAAGGGGCTTGGGGAAGAGAAGCAGAGAAGTAGAAAAGACAGCTATTGGGTACTGGGTTTAATAGCTGGGTGATGGAATAATATGTACAGCAAACCCCCATGACATGTGTTTACCTATGTAACAAACTTTTATATGTGCCCCCAAACAAAAAATTAAAAGAAAAGAAAAAATCGATAAAATCACAAACAAAAATAAAAATAGCTTTACTGAGCTCTAAGTGATATACAATGAACTGCACATATTTAAAGTATGGTGATTATAACTTTTAAAAATTGACAAGTGGAATTTAATTAAAGAGCTTTTGCATAGCAAAAGAAATGGTCAACAGCGTAAACATACAACCTACAGAATGAGAGAATATATTTACAAACTATGCATCCAACAAAGGTCTAATATCCAGAATTTATAAGAAACTCAAACAATTCAACAAACAAGAAAAGAACCCAGTTTAAAAGTGGGGAAAAAGACACAAATGCTTCTCAAAAAAAAAAAAAAAAAGACTTAGGAGTGGCCAAAAAACATGAAAAAATGCTCCACATCTCTACTCATCAGAGAAATACAAATCAAAACCACAATGTTACCATCTCACACCAGTCAGAAGGCGATTATTTAAAAGTCAAAAAAAGATAGATGCTGGAGAGCCTGCAGAGAAAAGGAAACATTTTTACTATTTGTGGGAGGACAAATTCGTTCAGTCATTGTGGAAAGCAGTTTGGAGATTTTTCAAAGAACTTAAAACAGAACTACCATTTGACCCAGGAATTCCATTATTCTGTATATATATCCAAAGAAAATAAACCATTCTACCAAAAAGACAAATGCACTCATATGGTCAATTACAGCACTATTCACAACAGCAAATACATGGAATCAACCTGGGTCCCCATCAGTGGTAGACTGGATAAAGAAAATGTGGTCCATATACACCATGGAATAAGACACAAGCCATAAAAAAGAATGAAATCACATCCTTTGCAGCAACATGGAAGCATCTAGAGGCCATTATACTAAGTGAAGTAGCATAGGAAAACCAAATACCACATGTTCTCACTTATAAGTGGAAGCTAAACACTGGGTACACAGGGAGATAAAGACAGGAACAACAGACACTGGTACTACTAGAGAGTGAAGGGAAAGAGGGGGACAAGGTCTGAAAAACTACCTATTGGGTACTGTATTCACTACTTGGGTGATGGGGTCAATCATACTCTAAAACTCAGCAGCATGCAACATACCCAGGTAACAAATCTGCACATGTACCCTCAAATCGAAATAAAAGTTGAAATTATATTTAGAAAAACAAGTAAGTTTTGACATATGTATACACCCATGAAACCATCATAAAAATAAAAATAGTTAACATACCCATCACCCCCAAGCACTCCTCATGCCCCTCTGGAATCCCTTCTCCTCTCCTCAGGTAACCATTTATCTGCTTTCTGTAACTACAGATTTTGCATTTTCTAGATTTTACATAAAATAATACAGCATGTAATCCATTTTTGCCTGTGCTCTTTCACTCAGCAATATTATTTTGAGATTCATTAATGTTGTTATATACATAGTTCATTCCTTTTCATTACTCATTAGTGTTCCATTGTGTGGATATATTGTTAAGCCCATCCTAGACATCTTTCATCTCAGACATTATAGTTTTCAACTCTTTGACTTGAGCCTTCAAAAAACTTTCCATGTCTCTATTTAAGCTTTTAAACATCTGAAATATAATTACAGTTACTTGTAATGTCTTTCTCTGTTAATTCTAACATTTATGTCAGTTCTGAGTCAGTTTCAGTTGATTTCTTTTACCTCATTATGGGTATATTTTCCTGTTTCTTTGTATGCCTGGTAATTTTTTACCGGATGCCAGACACTGACAATTTGACCTTGTTGGGTGCTAGATATTTTTGTATTTCTATAAATATTCTGGAATGTAGTTTAGTTACTTGGAAACAATTTCATCTTTCAGAAAGGTCTTGCTTTTAAGATTTGTTATGTTGGATCAGAGCAATATTTGGTTTAGGGCTAATTATTCCTCACTGTTGAGTAAAGCCTCTCCCCAATGTTTTGTGAATTATGAAGTTTTCCAGTGTATCTGAAGGACACTGGCGCTATTCCAAGCCTGGTGTGAGCACCAGGTACTATTTCCTCTAATCTTTTTGGATGGTTTTTTTCTCAGCGTCAGGCAATTTCCCCATGTGGATGCAGAAGTGCTGGGATTTGAACTTGGGATGACTGACACTTTCCATCCTACCAGGTGGCATAAGATCATTGTACTAAGACAAAGGCAGCCATTCTACTCCGGTACGTGTTTTTTCTAAAAGCAAGGGGAAAAAAACAGGCAGTCACTAGAACAGATATAAGGTGGCCTCTGAATATCTGATTAGGCCCTCTGCATATTTCCAGAGTTATCTGTGCATCTCTCTCATCTCTGATACTTTTGTCCTGCAAACTCTAGCCACCTTGGTTTCTTGGACTTTCAGCTCCATCTCCTCAACTCATGGAATCCACCAGTCTCCAAAGGATTTTGTTTCTCCTGCATGTCGCCTGGAAACATCTCCAGGCTCTGCAGGGCTCATTGCATTTGTTTCCCTTCTACGAGGGACCACTTCATTGCTTGATGTCCAGTGTCTTGAAAACTGTTTTCTTAAGAAGGTTTTCTTCTGTTTATTTATTTGTTTCATGTGGGAAGGAAAAATCCAGTCTTTTTCATTCCAACTTGGTAAGAGGTGGAAGTCTCAACACTGTAGCTTTTCCTATTTTTTTTTTTTTTTTTTTGAGAGTCTCACTCTGTGGGCCAGGCTGGAGTGCAGTGGCATGACTTCGGCTCGCTGTAACCTCCATCTCCTGGGCTCAAGGAATTCTCCCGCCTCAGCCTCACAAGTAGGTGGGATTACAGATATGTGCTACCATGCCCGGCCACCC